CAGGGTTACTATGGGTCAGAATTGACTTGATGGCACTTAACAACAACGTTGTTGTTGGTATTCCTGATAACATATTCTTAAGAACAGCATGCACACACACACACACACACACACACACACACATATAGATAGATAGATAGATAGATAGATAGATAGATAGATATAGATATATAATAGCAGATTATAAATCCAGACATTTATATAATCATGTTTTGAGACAAAGGAACATTAGCAAGTTCTGAGGCAGAAAATGTATGCTCCTATATAGATACATTGTTGTTAAGTTCAGACATTTATATAATCATGTTTTGAGACAAAGGAACATTAGCAAGTTCTGAGGCAGAAAATGTATGCTCCTATATAGATACGTTGTTGTTAAGTTCCATCGAGTTGTTCTAATTAATAGTGACCCTATATTCAGTTTCCAAGGAGTGGCTGGGGATGTTGAATTGGCAACCTTGCAGTTCAAACTTACCTTGCCGTGTAGTGCATTCACAGTAGCGCCACACCAGGACTCCATAGCTCTATATCCATATTTATATATCTCTATACACACCCTTTTGTATTGCATAAGTATCCCTTGCTCCAATTTATTTATTTTTCCTTTCTAGGTCACTTGGTGTTCTTGACTTGGAGAAAATAGGAAATGACTCTAATGTATCAGAATTTGTTCTTCTGGGTCTATCATCCTCTTGGGAGCTGCAACTATTTCTCTTCTTACTATTTTTGATGATCTACATGACTATTGTCCTGGGAAACTTCTTGATAATGGTGACGGTGTGGACTGATGGCCATCTGCTTCAGTCTCCTATGTACTATTTTTTGAGCCATCTCTCCTTCATTGACTTATGTCTGAGCTGTGTTACTGTGCCCAAGATGTTAGGAGATTTTCTAAGACAGGAAAAAACCATCTCCTTTTCAGGATGCCTGGCCCAGATCTACTTTCTTCACTTTCTGGGAGCCAGTGAAATGCTTCTGCTGACAGTCATGGCCTACGATAGGTATGTTGCCATCTGCAATCCTTTGCACTACCTGACTGCCATTAACCGCCAGCTATGTCTTCAGTTGATTTTTGCCTGCTGGTGTTGTGGTTTCATCCATTCTATTACACAGGTAATTCTGATCATCAAGCTGCCCTTCTGTGGTCCCAATGAACTGGACAACTTCTACTGTGATGTTCCACAGGTCATCAAGCTGGCATGCATGGACACTTCTGTCGTAAAGTTGCTGATGGTCTCCAATAGTGGTTTGCTATCTCTTATCTGCTTCTTGGTCTTGATAATTTCCTATGCTGTCATCCTAATGGCCTTGAGGACTCGATTCCTACAGGGCCAAATTAAGGCACTCTCTACTTGTGCCTCTCACTTAACAGTGGTCAGCCTGATTTTTGTGCCATGCGTATTCATCTACCTGAGACCTTCCTGCAGCTTCTCTGTGGATAAAGTATTCTCTGTATTCTATACAGTGATCACACCTATGTTGAACCCTCTCATCTACACACTCAGAAATGCTGACATGAAGACAGCTATGCAGAAACTGAGAAAAAAGCACGTGACATTCTGCTACCATTTTGAAGGATGAACAGGAAGAAATGACTTAGAAAGCATATTATCCTTTAGGAATGTCTTAATTCATCCTGTACCAGAGAATGAATGAAGACCAGTTTGGTGACTTTGAGATAAAAGAGAAAATAGCATAAAATCAGAGTACATTGCTCTAGATTATAATTATAAGACATAGGTAGATTTTGGGGTGGCCATTATTAAGCAGGGACCTTAGGAATATTTAATGGATCATGAATGCTATCAGGGAGTGCTAGGGTCAGAGGACACTTGAAAGATAAATCCTTCTATCCATTTGTCTATATATAGGGTCTATTTATTCAATTCATTTTTATCTCTTTTCAAGTAAAAGAAGACATTGCACCTCCATTTGTGCACAGTTCCTCTAAGGTTTAACAATCTCTAAATGTCACAGAATTCCTTCTGATATCTCATCAGAGTTTCTTCTGAAGCTGTATCAACCTGTGAACAGGCCCTGAAAATAGCACTTACCATCCAATATACGAGTGTATACTGAAGAGTGGTGCTCTATATAGTGCCAAATTTTAGAAATGCATTTAAACATCTCACTTGAATCAACATATGTTTTTAAGCAAGTTTATGTGTGAGAGAAACAAAGTCTTGGAGTCAGTGGGTGATGGAAGCTATTGGTATTCTGTTGTAGAGACTTCTATAGGGAAGGCATCCATTTCACCTTGAGTTTTTCCTTCATTATAGAATTATGATGATAAATTGTAGATGCTAATTGACTTTTTAACTGAGTTGTTCAAGAGTTATAAGCTCTAAAGGAAAAGAAAAAGTAAGAAAAAAATTGTGGGCTCAAAGCGCTAGTCCATCTGATTCCTGCCCTTTAGGTACTCATAGTTATTACCACTGAGTCTCAAAAGAACTTGAGGAGTAGGTAATTATTCAACTTCATTGTTATAAATGAATTTAGAGTTGTTAAGTGACCTGTCCAAGATCACTTAGAAAAAGTGCAATCAACTAAAGAAACTAGTAATTTTATAAAATTAAGATCAAACTAATATTTTGCTCTCCAGAAAACTATTGATATCAGTTATATGAACTAATTTCTTAACAACTTCTATTGTATATGTTTAAAAGCTCCCAAACACCAAAACCAAACCCTGTAGCAGTTGACTCAATTTGAATTCACAGTGACTCTACAGGGCAGAGGAAGATGGTCCAGTAGGATAGATATTTTGTGGAAGCAGACAGCCACATCTTTCTCCCATAGAGTGGGTTTGAACCACCAAAATTTTGGTTAGCAGTCAAGTGCTTAACCACTGGGTCATCAGGGTTTCCTTGTAGGAGCTTCAGAGCTAGGATATCCCAAAAAAGAACCACTCAAACATTTATATTTAAGGTTATCTATTGCTGATGTGGAGTTCTGGTGCAGCTCTGTGGTATAAAGCACTGGACTGCAAAGTCAGTTTGAACCACAAGGTCAGCGGTTCAAACTCACCAGCCACTCGTTGGAAATACTGTACAGTGTTGCTATGAGTTGTAAATGACTCAATGGCACTTAACAACAACAGCAACAATTGCTGATGTGTATCTCCTTGAAACTTTTCATGGCTATAGAAATATACATACATTCTGTTTACTTATGAAAATATGAAATTAATTTTTAAGGATATTTTTATATTGGCTCACTGTATTTCCAAATCTGTTATGGAGAGTAGTTTTCTGATGAGCTAGCTGAAAAACGTCAGAAAAAAAATATCTGAAATGCCAACCCTTAGTAGGATTTACTGGGTAATTTAAAATATTCCTGGTTATGTAAGAGCTTTCTTTATACTGGAACAGGGATTGGATTGTTATTTCTCTGTTAAGAGTTAATTATCTTAAATAAATCTTATGTCTGTCTGTTTGTACAGAAGGATCTCTTGCAGGCTAGAAAGAAGGCTTCTACTGGGGGATTTTTCAATAGGGTGAGTGTGGGAGTGGCATTCCTACTACAGATCGAATGCTCTCTCCCCTACTACACTCAAGATTTCTACAGGATTTTTTTTTTTTTTTTTTTACACTTTATGAATATCCAGAAGAACAAACAGGAGGAAACTACCAACCAAAGAATGTTGTGTGTCAGGTAGGCACATGGCAGGCACACGAATCACCAGATTATCTTTTAGCATCAGCTGCCTGCAGCATATCTCATTGCTGACGTTCCTCTTTTGTAGTGAAGTTTAGGCTCTTAGAAAACCATTTTAAATGTCAAGAACTTTGTGTATTTGCTTTTGTGTTTTCAATCTTCCAATATTTGCTTTAACCAATTACTTAGATTAAATTCACTTTATTAATATAATTTATAAAGTTTCTGCTTTCCTGCCTGTCCATGATTGATGTTATCTGGGTGTCAGTGGCTTCAGAGTTCACTTTTCAAATGACTGGTCTTACTTCAGGGTCTTCCTGACCTCTGCTTTGTGTCTATCCTTGAGGGTGGACAATACTGTTGGTGTGTGGAATCTTTAATGGAATCATGTGTAAAGCATGTAGTGAGAGCCTGGACATGTGCCTTAAACATCCACATTCATGCATGTGATAGATCTTGTCACAGTGGAACATGGAACCAGTAGAAGAGGCTGGGAACTGGGGGCCAGAGGCTTGTTCTTTCTACACTATTAGATTCTGGTGTAAGGTCAAGGAGCATGAGAATCTTAAATTTGCAACCTGCAAATTTTGAGTACATACAGACATATTTTATTAAACTTTGTCAGCTTGACTTAATAACTTTTACGTGTTTAGACACATAGTCTCTGGGCTCCATTTTTATTCTCGGTTCCATAGATACCCACTTCCTTTTTCAGGACCCTTGACCTTTGCAATATTGATGTAAATGACAGAAGCAAAAGAGAGGTCTAATTCATAAAATCATGGTTGAATTCCAGGACATATCATGGAAAAGGTCATACACATTAATTGCTTGAATACATTGTTAATGAACCAATAAGCTTTATAAGTTAAATCACCCTACTCAACCCCTTCCTCAACTTCATTGCCAAATTATTCCTTCTAAGATTCCTAGAAATGACAAGGTTACTAGAAAGAAACCAGCATGTCACCCAATATTTATCTCTAATTTAGAGAAATTTAAGTTTAATTTAGAAAATAAAACTCTGGAGATGTTCCTCTAATAATTCTTAAAGATTTTGTTATCCTTGAACATTCATTCATTTATTATCAATTAATTATATATTGGAGTCCTGGTATGGTGCCATAGAATAAGCAGCTGATCTTAAAGTTTGTTTGGACCACAAGATTGGTGGTTTAAACTCACCAGCCACTCCTTGGAAACCCTATACAGGGTCACCATGAGTCTTAACCAATTTAATGACACTTACCAACAAGAAGAATTATGTATTATTAATACAACTATTATTTGCTGAGTGCCTATGATGTGCTTAGAAACGTAGACATCTTGCTATTTGGATCTTCTGCCAAATATATCATCTCCTGGTTTGGGGCTATAGGGTCAGCACTGGACTATAAACCACATGGTCAGCAATTTAAACCACCAGCTGCTCCTCAGAAACCTTATTGTTGTTATTATTGGCTTTGCTATAGAACTATTCTAAATCTTGGGACTAGTTCTAGTGAATAAATTTGTCCTAAGACCAAATGTTTATTCCAGTCCACAGTATTGTCCCAGTCCTGTCCCTATGGTTTACATTTCTGAATGCCTCTATGCTGCTGAACATATTGCTTCCTGTGCTGGAATTACTGACCTATGTTTCACTTTTAATACTCAGATTAAATGTCTCATCTTCTTGGAAGTCATCTCTGATCCTGCTATTTTATATTTCTATTAACCATTTCTCATATGGATTCTTACAAAAGAATACTGTTCTTATTTGTAAGTAGCAAAGCACTTACCACATTTATTGCTACTTTCTTCATATTTTTGTATTTTTTTTTTTTGCGTGTGTATGTACTACAGTGTTCAGCACAGTACCAAGTACTACAGAAATGCTCAATAAATGCCTTTTTAAAGAAAGAAGGGTAAGAAAAAAGAAAAGGTAAAAAGGAAATAATTTTTAAAAAAGGAATTTAGAAAGGAAGGAAAGAATAAGAGAGTTTAAAAGAGAGAGCAAGAAAGTGACTTAGTGAAATACAGAGATTAATAAATGAGAGATAGATGGATAGATTATGTTGTTGTGCTTATGTGCCTAGAGTCGGTTTGACTCATAGTGACCCTGCATAGGGTTTCCGAGG